CTAGTGAATTGAAGCTAGGCCACAGAGTGGGGTTATTAGCTTGGCTTTGGAATCCTTGGTTTTCCTCACTCCTGGTGCTTCACATGGTGGGAAGAAAGTCATATCCTTCATGGCAGTTAGGTGGGTGGAGGAGTCTGGCTCTGGATTCACTGGCATCTCCTTTACACAAATACCAGCCCCAGATTTCACTTTTGTTTCTCAAACTTCCAATCAGCTTGCCAAGGAGTTTGCCAGAGGGAAAGCAAGGAATTGCCCTTGCTCAGAGGCAGAGCTACCAGGCATTTGCTGTCTGAAACAACCTCCCATGATAGAAGAGCTGTAATGATGACCACAAGGACTTCTGTCTTTAATGTGCTTGTTGCAGACTGGGCATGGGAAATTCTATAAATGGTACACTCTGATGTGCTAATGATGGCTTTCAGCTCTGGTCCTAAGATTCTTTCCATCAGAGCTGCAGATGTGTGTGCCTTTAGGTAGATGGACGCAGACACGTTGCAGGCACCCCACGTGGTTAGAGGACCAAGGTGCCCTCAGACCTGACTCCCCTTTACTTGTGTCTGGGTGACACTGTTTCTCTCCTCGCTTTCCTCGAGCCCCAAGGCTCCAGGTCCAGCTCACCGGCCTGCTGATAGGAGGAGGCCTTCTCACTCACTCCCCTGCTGTCTTCCCGTCTTGTAGATGATGAGCCAGGTGGAAGGACAGCAGAAGAATCTTGTGCATGCCATCGAGGCCCTGCCAGGCTCTGGCCCCCTCACAGCCTTGGACCAGGACCTGCTGCTCCTGAAAGCCACCTCTGCTGCCACCCTCAGCTGCCTGGGCGAGTGCCTGAGCCTGCTGCAGCAGAGTGTGCACCAGGTGGGCCAGCCCAGCCTCAAGTCAGGGGCCTCAGGTAAGACTCGGGCTGGGTTTGCCAGTGAGTTTGTGTGTCTCATGGCTTAGACCTATACATCCGTCCGTCCGTCCCGTCCGTCCTGTCCGTCCGTCCATCCATCCATCCATCCATCCATCCATCCATCCATCCATCCATCCATCCACCCCTCCTTCCTTCCTTGTGCCCCAGTGTTGTTTTGTGTTTCCCTCCCTCCTCCCCTACTTAGTTTGGGATGTGCTTTTTTAAATTTTTAACCAGTGAGAAATGTGCCATCCTATGACACCGTCAGCACGTGCCCCTGGGTATTTATGGAGCTCCTCTGGGCTTGTAGGAGGCGTGTTCTGGATCTCCTTCCATCAGTGACTGTGCTTCAGGCTCTGCATTTGAAATCTATTGCTGTGCAGCATCTAACTGTGCCTGTGGTGTGTGCCTGCCACCCTCCAGCTGACACTCTGTGAGGGATGTGTTTGCCTCCACCCCTCACCCACTACCATCACCATCCTCTTGAGCTCTCGTATGAACCTGAGGGGATTTCTCTGGAAGACACACCAGAGCATTTCTAGCTCTTCCTGAAGAAGCTAGAGATAATGATATACTCCATTGAGATGCTGCAGTCCTTTTGGAGAAGGATTTGATCAATAGGCGGATAATCAAGATATTAGTGAAGATTAAGTTCAATGATAAAGGTGAAAATAGTTTGAGGTTGGTTGTCCAGTATAATTGTAAAGCATTAGCATTAATAGATGAATAGAAGCCTTGTTGAGCCTTGTTGCCTGGGGCCACTTACTTAGTGAGGAAACGAGGCAACTTGGGTGATGAAAAGTAAAGCTAGGTTATGAGTGATTGTGATTCGGGCTTTCTTGGGTTGCCCTTGTCTGCTGTGTCATGGAGCTTTCCAGAGTGGTATGGGCTTTCCAGAACAGTACCCAGTGTGCGGGTAGGTGGGGTCTCCTACATACCCACCCTCAGGTGCTGAGCCCTGATTCTGCCTTTGCAACACATTTTCTGTCTTCTGAGAAGAGGTGGCCATTAGCAGAATCTACCTCACACAATGCCTCAGTGGGCAAAAAGAAAAACTACGCTGGTTACTTTGTTTCCTTGTCTTTTTAGCTCCTTCTTATAGTTATGTTCCATAGAACACAGCATTTTAGGTTTTAAAACACTCTGCATATATCTTTTAAATCTATGCCCTTCATTGGGGAAAACAAAATAAATTACTTCCTGTGTTCAAAAATTCCTGTGTTCAAAAATTCCTAAAGCTAAAACAGAATTCCGGAGTCCTAAGTTGGTGAAATAAGAGCATGGGGAATCACAAGGAGATTCATTTGTTTAAAATAGCTGAGCTCTGGGGGCTACAGCCTGGCTCCCATCATAGGGACATAATGGTTGTATCTAAGAAATGCCTGCTGTCTTTGATGGAAATCAAGATCGCATTAAAGTGGAGCCCAGTCAGGGTTCCCTTTAAATGTTTAGTGGGCAGGGAGGTCCAGACTCCCCATTGCATTCCACCTACCCTTTGTTCCTGCTAAGAGTCTCTTTGTTTTCTGACCCCTAGGACTGTTTTTTTTTCCCCCTGCTGCCCTTTTGCTGGATCAAAAATTAATTTGTGATCTTGTAGCATTTCATCTTCTGCAGCATTTATTTCATTGTATCTGTTAGGGAATATGTTTTTGAAGCCTTTACCTGCCACTGTTTCTCCCTAATGCTTATTTCCATTCAGACCCATTGGACAATTGCACTGAAATCTGAAAATTACTTTAGTATTCATCTGCTTCTCACCTATACTTTCTGGCCTCCTAGACTGATACCTGATCTTATTTTTAAGATACAGTGGACTGCAAATATATAGCGCATACACAAGAGAAAACAAACAAAAAAATCTAAATCCAGTGGGCAGACATGCTTCCTTTAACTTTTGTTTAGGGAGATGTTTGTAATGAAAATTAATACAGTGGTTGACTTTTTGACCAGCGCTTTCGGGGTGCAGGCCTCTTCTGTTCTTGGTGGCTACTAAATCTATCAGAAGAGTTTGATATAAGCAAATCATTGATGGGGGTGAAGTGTGAGTGGGTATTTGTTTTCCCCAGTCTCAATGCCTACTTCTAAATGTCTGTTTACAATGCAGGGAGGACCAGCCTCAGAATTGGCAAGGTCTGGCTTCTTGGGCTTCCTAGCTTTTGGGTTAATATTACAGGCAAGAAACTGAACCTTAAGGTAATTTGGGGGCACAGAATATTGTGTTACCTAGGTTTCTGGTTAGTTTCTTTCTTACAGGCCTTGACCCAGGTCTCGATCAAGGTAGACAGGTGCAAATAGACAAGCACCTTAGTGTCAGTTAAGACCTGGGATGTTGGCAAGGAGCGATTGGTGTAAGGCCCGTTGAGGAAGAATGCTGGACTCGGGGGTGCTTGTATGAAGACAGCAGAGCCTTTGGGAACTGCATTGGGCAGCATAAATGAGAGCAAAGGGTGCATGATTGAAGGGAGGAGAGCCAGAGCAGTGTAGTGTGCTTTTTTTGTAACTTGCCTTTCCAGTCACGTTTTCATTGTCTTAAGCCATTTGTGGGGAATGTCAGTTCACACGTCAGTTGTATCAGCCCTCCTGCCTTTCAGTTTGGCAAACAGTGTCCGGTGAGGAGACTGCCAGAGGCCCTTCTCCTGGCTTTTCCTGTCAGCTGTGTTCTTCCTCTGCTGTGCTTCACATTCTTTACAGACCCCAGTGCACAGCACCTGTGCTCCACGGAGATGCCCGTACTTGCTACCCCACTCCAAAGAAGCCCCCGATGGCCTCCATGACCTAGTTAAAATAGGACCGATTTTAAGTCGGTCTGCTTATGTAGAGAGGTATAAATATTTCTTAACCTATAAATGTTTAATTTGGAAAACACTTGGCATCATTGGAAGTCTTTATTTCAGAAAACATCCTGGGATGGCACGGACCCAAGTCACATTCCACAGAGCAGCTGAAAAATGGGACATTTGGCTCCTTGCCATCAGCTAGTGCCAACATAACGTGGGCCATCTTACCAAACTCCACCGAAGACGAAGACGAACGGACCTTACCGCCAGAGCCGGAGGTGAGCCAGTGGTCCTCTCGGGGCATTTTGGTGGCTGTGTTCTCGCTTGTTCTGATAGACAGTAATTATATTTGTAACTTGCTCATCTCTGTTTTAAGAGGAGACAAATTATAAACTGGAAGCACAACTTTGTGCATGCCCGACACTTCCCTTCTTGTGTCTGGCAGCGGCCGTGGGTGAATTGTGATCCACCAATGAAGCTTCTCCTATTCTCCTTGAAATAGGAGTCATTTTCACTTCAAGTGGGAGAAATCCTAGCACACCCATTAAAACGATGCCTATTGACATAAGGGGAGCAGTTACAATATATTATGGCTCCCCTGAATAATGGCTTCTTCGTGTGGTTCATGCTGACATAGCTCCTGCCTCACACGCTCGATCCCGCATGCTACAGACCCGGCCAGGGCCGCGGGGCAGTGGCTGAGACTGGGCGCTGCGCTGCGGCCAGGGCCTGGTGGCAAGGGACCCTGCCCAACCCGGTCAGGGAGGCGGCTGCCCCTGCAGCTCCTGGCATGAGCCAGGCCCCCAGCAGGCTCTCAGGACTCTGTCTCCTGCCCCTGTGACTCTCCTAACTGTGCCTCTAAGTGGCAGCTGGAAGGAAGCCAACTGCAGCCCTTCCCTTAGACATTTTCCTTTGCGTCGTGATTTTTCATTTTTTTTCTCTCTTCTTTGATGTACTTGTCCCGTCAACATGATCTTGTGACCTGAACCGAGACCTACTTCACCCATATGTTGTTAGAGGTTGTTCTTAATTTTAATTGAAATCACTTTAGTCTGAAATTGTGGAACACTTGCAAAATCTGTTCTGTACAGTTGAAATCCCCAAGGCAACTTCTCTGATCGAATGGCTTGGGTTATGAATGGCACGTTCCTCCACGCTCTGTGTGCTGACAGTGTCTGGCAGTGACTGGTCGCTCAGCTCCCATAGGGACAGTAGCAGTCTGCCTGCAGATGTTTCGTTAGCACCTGTAGGGTGCCTCTGCTGGGTCTGAGAGGAGTGTACCCGGAATTCCAGGCTGAAAGCGCTTGCAGTTCAAGTGCAGGTCAGTTGGAAGGTAAGTGGAGAACAAAGAGATTAATAGGTGCCCTGTTTCCTGTCGCTCTTTGAAGGGGCTGGGTGGGATGACTTTCGGAGAGGGATGCTTAGCTGCTGAAGTGTTGAAGCTTGCCATCACTTTGATTCCCTTGGAAAAGAATCTTTTGGGGGTCATGTCATGAAAAACATATTGAAAGTTTTTCTCTAGTGAGAAATTGACAAGTCCATCATTGCTCTTTAGTAATTTTGTAGACTCCATTCCCAGCAGCATTCTAGAGCAAAACCTAGCAGGGTTTTAGCGTAATAAGCTCACCCATCAGGGCGACAGGCGGTGTTCTTCCTCATTCTGTGGATCCCTTTTAGCGCGCTTGTGCCTTTCCTACAGAGGTTCCTTAAATCCTGAAGTTTGAGAGGCCAGGTCTGTTCTTTTTGCCAAATCGTTGCCTTCTTTGCTTGATGAGTTAGTGCTATTAGTGGAAGCAGGTAGGTGTCCATGGGAAATAGACCTAGCGGTGAGTATTTTATGAGGATTACATCTGAGCAGAGAAATCAAACATTGTACAAAATGAACAGTGATAGCATATATTTAACTGTATTTAGTAATAAAAAATAATTAGCTCCCTAGGTCAACATTTAAAAAATACTGCAGAGGAGCCCTAGGGAGAACTGTTTCTGTAATTTCAGAGTAATCACTAGACCCTGGCTTGTCACGTTTGCCCTGTATTTCTTTGATGAGAGCAGTCTGTGGTGCCACTTGACAAGTCCTTATATAGTGAGGGGCTTGCAGGCTGTGATGATATTTTGATGGTTTTCTGAGAAGGTAGCATTAGCATTTTCTGCAGAGACTCCCTTTTTTTTTTTTTTTTTTCAGTGACAGGTGGTAGGTGACACTAGTGACCCAAACAGCTATTTTTAATTTTAAACTATTTAGCTTAGTCATATTTTTCTATCTTTTACTAATTGAGAAAGCCAGCAACATCCACCCAGTCGTTTTCTGCCAGAAAAGGGAAATGCTTCCTTTGCTTCCTTTCCTTCTCTTTCATATAATTTGCAGAAAGCACCCAGGACAGATTCAAGTGAAGTTCCTAAGCCTAAAAATCCCATATGAAATTCCTTTTGACATAGAGAATATAGGTTACTCTGTGAGTGAATGTTAGGAGCTAATGGTAAGAATTATGGTTATGGTGGTATTTTATAGCTTTGTAAACTTATTTTCTTCTGTTTTATTGTTAAGATGACATTAGGTCTTTGAGAGCTGTAATCTGGGTGTAAATGGTACTTCCCGCCCAGGTGTCATGTGATTTTAATCCCACCACACTGTCAACCCACTCCCTTCTCATCAGATGCTGTAGTCTCAGTCTGACGCTGTGTGAGATGGTATCTGCCCTGTCCCTGCACCTCAGACGCCAGTCCACTAATAGGTTATTCTGTCCTTCTGACCTACTGATGCTAGATGGGAGGTTCCTGTGCCCCTCTTCTTGGGTTCGATTAATTTGCTGGAGTGACTCACAGTACTCAGAGAAACATGTACCAGTTAATTATGAAAGAGTAGAATTCAAGAACAGGTGGAAAGGGCTCAGAACTAGATATGGGGAAAGAAGCTTCCATATGCTTCCAAGACCCCTCTCCTCTCCCAACACCTCTACATGCTCACCAAGCCAGAAGCTCTCCAAAAGCTATCCTCTTGGGTTTTTTTGTAGAGACTTCAGTACCGTAGCTGCCGCTGATTAAACCATTGCCCACTGGTGATTAAATTCAGTCACCAGCCTGAGGTCTGTGGGTAGGACTGCAACTTTGAATCCTCTCCTCACACCTTTGGCTCCCCTGGCAACTGGCCTTTCCTTAGTAACTGCCCAAATCACAAGGCGAAAAACAACCTTTGTCTCTTCTAGGAAATTCCCAGGGTTTAGGAGCTTTGTACCAGAACTGGGAATGAAAACCAAATAGATAATTCTTATAATAAACCACAGTTTCACACTCTCCTCTCCTAGTTCTGGCTTACTATGAAATAGCTTATAGCTGTCTAGAAAATTAATGCATTTTCAAACTTAATCTATTTAATTTTCAGTCAGTATGCATTTAATCATGAGTTAGAACTGTGGTTGGCTGTGTTATCAAATGCAGTGATCTTAATTTTTTATTCTACTGGGGCTAGATTTAACTAAATCTAAACATGACGTATTCTACCATAATGAAATGAGCTAGAATCTTGGTTTTACTTCTTCATAGAATAATTTTTCAACTCTAACAGCATTTGAAATTTAAGTTCAGACCAAAAAGGCTTTTGCTATGCTGTCTTCACTGAAGGACACCTTGTTTTAGGACAGGAAAGAGAAATATTTGGAACATACTAGGTACCTTCATTCCACCCTCCTGACTGAAAACCTCACTAACGCATTCTTACGTCTCAGACATTCTTACCGCTATGTGTCCAGGTGCACAACAGGTTTTATAAATATGGTTGTGTGAGGTTTGGGAATCTGAGCTGGTGACCCAGGTACTTGTGCTGCTGTTACTGCCGGGAAAGATCTTTTTTTTTTTTTTTTTAAGATTTATTTATTTATGCATCCAAGGCCAGAGGTGCAAGGGGATGAGAGGATTCACCAGAGCAGAGTGGGGAGCAGGACATGCAGATCTCCTGAAGTACACTGCTGAGGGGAGCAGCGGGTGAGATGGGAGAGGTCTCCTGCACCATGTGGGTCAGCTCCCCAGCAGCTCCCAGGCTGGGGATCAAACTACTGCAGTGGCTGCGGACAGCTTCATAGTGCTGCACTTTAACCTGTTGCACCACCATGGAGGGCCCCGGCAGGAAAGATGTTGGAGGTGTCTGGAGGCAGTTGCAGTAGATTCATTGTTCTAGGGCCTCAGCCCCACCTGCACAGGTGTGAGAAGCTTTGTTTGGGCAGTGACAGCAGCTCCTCAACTTCTGGATCATGCACACCTACCTGGGAGAGGTGTCTCTTTGAGCTGGAAAGACTAAAGGGGACTTTTGCTCCTCCCACCTTGTATTGATTCCGTAAACACCTAATTTCCATCAAGTGCCTTTCTGAGTGAAGCACCTGGTGTGATTTCTGTCCTCTGCTCTGCACAGTGACTCGTCTGCCTATTGTAATGGAAACAGAGACCGCTGTGAATGACAGTGCTCACATGTGATCACACGACCCACCTTTCTGGAGGAAGTACTGCAGACAAAGCCTTAATTTTCCTTAGGTAAAATTTTATTGAAGTAAAATTAATAAAAAAAAAAGAACATTCACCCTTTAAAATGCAATTTTTATTGGTTTTTAATTAATCAAAGTGTAGATGCATTGTATAAGGTCACAGGATCCCTTGTGTCCTTCATGGTCAACTCCTCCCTCTAGTCCTTGTTCACTGCTGATCTGTTTTCTACCCCCATAGTTTTGCCTTTTCCAGAATGTCATATAAATTAAATCCTACTGTGTGTAGCTTTTTGCATCTTGTTTCTTTTGTTTATCATATTGCTTTTGAGATTCAGCCATGCTGGGTATCAGCAGTTCATGCCTTGGTTATTGTTGGTTAGTACGTACTGGAGTTTCCTCATTGGTCAGTTTGAAAACATCCTCAATCTCCCCCATAGATAAAATAGAAAAACAGGAGTACTCTGAAATATTGGTAATCATTTGAAATAAATATTTGGTGCGCAGACACCTACTGCTGGCCTAGGGGGGTCAGGTGGGCCATCAGTCCTATGCTGCTCCCCTGGGGACCCTAGCCACGCCTTAAGAGCTCGCTGTCAGTGCTGTCAAACCCTGAGCCGATTGCTTCATTAGAAGCTTTGTTTGGGTAGTTGTCTAAATTGCAGTGGCAATAATGCCTATCAAGTGATCACACCTCTTATGCCCCCCAAACCTGGTGAGTTTTAGAAGGACATCTCATAATGTCCCTAAACACGGAATACCAGCATATTCAGCATGTACAATCACCCAAGAGACTTTACTTAGAA